GTGCCTCCAGGGCTGCAGCTCTATCAGAGGAAGTCACACAACAGGCCAGCTTGGAATCACACCACGTTCATATTCAACATCCTTAAATGGACCTGCACCTGGCAGCCCCACTGTTTTCCTGGTCAACTTGCTCTCCCTGATGATTACTGCAAAATTCTCCACTCTTCTCAAACAGCCACCCTTCCTAGCCCCACTCTCCCCCTCAGGAGATGACCTTGCCTCCTGCTTCACAGAGAAGATAGAAGCTTCAGACAAGATCTCCCTCTTCCTCCGGGTACCACCCCCCCAGAGGGGAACATCCATCTTATCTAGGCTGAAATCTCCACCTATTCTTTCCGTCTGATCTCCTTCTATCTTTACAGGAATTTTAGCTAAAGATTCTGCCTCTCCCTCCTCTACAGTCAGTCTCTCTCCAGTGGAACCTTCCCATTGACACGGAAACATGCTTAAGATTCTCCCATCTTAAAATACTTGGCTTTAACGACAGCTAACATTTATTGAGCACTTTCTATGTATCAGACTTTAGGTTAAAGTAAAAACCAAAAAAAGGTCTTTCAACTCCACAAGACCCTCCAGCTCCCCCACTCTCTCTGCGTCCTTTCACAGACGAAATTCTTGTATATATCCCACTGTCTCTATTTTCTCATCTCTCACTCACTGTCTAATCCACTCCAGGCTGCCTTCTTCCTCTGTCCCCAGCACTCCACCAAAATGGTGCTAGCTGAGGCTGCTAGCGACCTCTATGTTGCCAAATCCCACAGACATTTTTTATCCTTGATCTCAAAAACATTCCAAATGGTTGACCACCACCTCTCTTTTGAACTATTCTCTTTTCTAACAACTGAACTCTCTTGATTTTTCCTCCTTTGTCTAGCCAACCCTTCTCTGTCTCTTTGCCAGTTCATTCTCTTCTACTTGGCCATTAAATGTTGGCACTACTCAAGTCTCAATCCCAAGCTTTCCTCTTCTTTTAAATAATGAGGGTATGATTTAATGGTACAACTTGATGAATTTTTCATTAATATATTTTTACATTGGTGTATCTTACAATGTAATATTTTTTATATTACATTGATATGTATTTAGATTGGTATGAAAGTGCACAACATTTCTAGCACTCCAGAAATTTCCTTTAGGCCCTTTCCTAGCCAATACAACCCCACAAGAGTTAACCAGTATTCTGACTTCTGTCAATATAGATAAGTTTCACCTGTTCTTGAACTTCCTAGCGTATATGTATTCTCCATACAGTAAATACACTTTTGTGTCTGTCTCTTTTTGCTTATGATTATGTCTGTGAGATTCAGTCTCAATGTTGTGTGTGGCACTAGGTAGTTTTTTTTCAATTGTGTAGTATCTCATTATATAAATATGCCACAATTTATTTATCCATTCTACTCTTGCTAGACATTTGGGTTGTTACTAGTTTTTGGCGATTGTAAGTAAACCTACTCTGAACATCCTTGCTCATGTCTTTGGTTGACATATGCCCTCATTTCTCTTGGGTATAGAACTAGGAGCTGTAGTTAAGTCATAGGTTAGGGTTCTGTTTAGCTTTAGTGGATACTGCCAAATCAGGCCTTTGTTCTATCTTTTTTTTTTAACTTTATATTCTATTCTGAGGCAGTCTCATCTTCACTCGTGACTTCAGTTACCATCTACACACTGACAACTGCCAAATGTATATCTCAGCCCAGTGCTCTCCTCTTAGCATCAGCCCCTATGGCCAATTTCCCACTTAACATCTCCACTTCAATGTCCCCAAGGCTCAAAAAAACCAGCAGGTACAAAGCCAAATTCATCATCTTACCTCCCAAGCTGGTCGTTGACTTATGTTCCTGATCTAGTGAGCAACCCCACCATTCACCCACTTATGCAACCTAGGGATGCAATCATCCCTGACACTCCATCTCCCTCATCTCCCTAATAGGATCTGCCAACATTGCCTCCTAAACATCTCCACTCTATCACCCTGTTCCAAGCCGCCCCGCCGCTCCAGGTCTCACCTAGACCAGGACAATGGCTTCTTAATGGGTCTTCCACTAACCCCTCTGGCTCTTCCAGAGTGGGCTCTTCAAAACACTGCTCTGATCACTTGAAATCCTTCCATGGGGAATCTTCCATTGTTCTTGGACCAGAATCCTTGCTGTGGCTTTCAAGGTCCTGAGGGGTCTGGGTCCTGCCCCCTTCTCCAGCCTGTTCTTACCCTGCTCTCCACTACATCCTCCTCGTCTCATCTCTCTTCCCTTGGGGTCTTTGTGCCAACTCTGTTCTCTGGCATACTGTCCCCCCATCCACACACCTGCAGACCTTTACTTAATTACTCCTCCTTATTCTTTAGATGGCAATTCAAACATCACTTCCTCAGATAAACCGTGATTCCCCAGTCTGGATCAGATCCCACTGTCATTCACCCCCATAGAACCATTATTTTTTCATAGCAGTTATCATAGTTTGTAACTAAATATTTATTTTTGCAATTTTTCAAAACAGATGCCTGTCTCCCCCATTAGCCAGTAAGTTCCACAAGGGCAGGATCCTGGTCCTTTATCTGTTCTCCATGCGTCCTCAGCACACAAACGCTCAGAAGATATTTGATGAGTAAGTGAGAGAATGAAGGAGGAGGAAGGGATTTGGAGAGGGATGACCTAATTCTAGTCTCAAGCCCACCGCCTGCTCTCCGTGAGCCTTGAATAGGTCACTGTGCCTCAGTTTCCTCATTTGTCAAATGAGGGTGAAATTACTCAAACCTGCTGTTTCTCTGGATTGTATAAGAATGCCATGAGCTATCAGTTGAAAAGCGTGAACCATTCCACAGATGTGAGGGGTGGTTCCCCTCTGGGGGGGTGGTACCCAGAGGAAGAGGGAGATCTTGTCTGAAGCTTCTATCTTCTCTGTGAAGCAGGAGGCAAGGTCATCTCCTGAGGGGGAGAGTGGGGCTAGGAAGGGTGGCTGTTTGAGAAGAGTGGAGAATTTTGCAGTAACCATCAGGGAGAGCAAGTTGACTAGGAAAACAGTGGGGCTGCCAGGTGCAGGTCCATTTAAGGATGTTGAGTATGAATGTTGAGACAGACATGTAGAGAAAGTCAGAAACCACACAGCTTAAGAGAGGTAGTGGGTAGGGAGTGACGTGGGAAGGGTCGCATCCTTGGGCAGAGGGTTCAGAATTCGGTGTTGTTCTGCATGTGTGTCTGCTTGGGTCCTTCTCTTGGAGCTCTCTGTGTATGCTTAGGGGTCTGTGTGTGTTGCTTGATACTTTCCTCACCTCCCCATTACTCTGAAAAATTTGGATTTGTCTACTGGAATGAGATGAGGTTGGAGAGAATGTTAGAGGATGGAGGAGGGAGGAAGTACAGTTGGGGGTGTGTGTGTCTTTGTTGCCCCACAAGAGGGCTGTGCGTCTGTGTGCAGTGATGTGTAGGTGTACAGTGTGGGTCTCTGTGTTGGTGTGGAGGAAGAAGTGTCCAGCCGTACCAGATCTGCTGTCCGCTGAAGCTGCTCTGTTCGTGCATGCCCTTTCTCTGGTGAGGCTCCATACTGGAAGCTTCTCCTGCCTTAGTTTCTCCTTTGTGGAAGTCCAATCTATTCCCCCTTCCAGGTAGTTTACCGGAGGGGAAGAACGCCCTCTAGTGGGTGTGGAACACATGGGCAGCTGCAGCTTCCCCAGGCCAAGCCTCGACCTAGGCTGGCCCCACCCCCAACCCAAGTCTGGAACTCAACTCTGGAACACATCCTGGGGCATGCAAAGCCCTGGGAGAGCTGAAGTCTAGTAGGCAGGAGAAAAATGCATATGGGACAGGACACTGAAAGGGAACCCATGGATTCATGCAGGAGAAGCCTGAAGACAATAGCTGAAGATGGGTCTCTCTCATCTGTGCAGTGACTTTTCTCAGGTTGTGCTGGGTGTCCCTGGCCTTTCTTGGTTCCTGTTTCTCCACGTGGTCCCTGAGTTCTGCTCTTTCAGTCTCACAATCCTGTCCTCAAGAAGCTACTGGTCACTATTCATGCCTGAAGGGCCTTGAACAGAACTGGACCTCCAGTCCATCCCCTGGGTGGGTACTATCTATGCCCCATGGAGTCAGGGGAGGCTTGTTGGAGGAGATAACATGTGAGCAGGGTCTTGAAAAATGAGTCGAAATTCTCTAATGGAGTCCAGGGAAGGCATGGAGCTGCGGATGAGCCTAGTGTGTCTGCGGAATGGGAGGCAGCCATGGTGACTGGACACTGGACTGGGGTGGAGAGGTAGGAGGTGAGGCTGGAGAGTAAACTGCAAAGGCCTTATAGGTCCTCCTGGAGGGGGATTGAATTTTACCAAGAAGCACTGGGGAGTGACAGAAGGTCTTCAAGCAGGAGAATGGTCAGAATTACAGAGCATGGACTGAAGATGGGGAGAAACTGTGGGGAGATGGGGGGTAGGGAGATCAGTTGGGAGGCTGTTGTTTAGGCAAAAGAGGAGGAGACCAGTCTGAGGGTAATGGCAAAGGATGGAGAGGGGCCAGATCTCAAAGGCTGCTCTTCTTCTGGGGCCTCTGTGTCCCTGGCAGCAAAGCTGAGGCCAGAGGTCCCACATCATTCAGTTTGGCTAGAACCTGGCACCCTGCCTCCCATTCCCAGCACATGCCAGGGTCTCTACATGCAGATAGAGAAGGGAAGATGTATGGGAGCAGGGACCGAGGGGAGAAAAGCAGGGGTAGGGGGAATGTGGCCTGGGGCTGTGAGATGGTTAACAACGGAAAGGCCCAAGTGGACTTGCCAGAACTCCCCTGCTCCTCCTCTGGCCCTGCAGAGGAAGGGTTAATATGCTTCACCTCCCTCCCTCCCTCGCCTCCCCTCAGGTCACCTTCTCAGCCCTGGAGACTTGGCTGGTGGCTCAAGTTCCTCAACCAGTGGCCCTGAGTAATCGGAGCAGAGAGAGGGGCCAGGGGCTGGGGGTGGGGAATGATAAATTGGGGGCAAAGGGAGCCTCAGAGACTGAAGCACTAGGGGTCTGCAAGGCTGATGTTTTGAGGGTACCCCAGGTTGGTTCCCAGCACTCTTCACCTGACCCAGGACCCTGTCTCTGCTCTGATCTCAGTTTCTTCCATTCACCAGCAAAGAATTTGTCGAACTCCTCTCCTGGACTCTTGGGGAGTGGGCACGCTGGGAGGGGGAGTGGTGATCTGCCAGGAAGCTTTTCAGCTGCAAGAGACAGGGTCCCTCCCCCCAGTGCCGGGAATTGGCCATAAATGAGTCTGTGGTCAGTGAGAGACCTCTGCTAATGGAACCTGGGCTGCCCCCCAAGCCACAGAAGGGAGTGGAGGAGGGGAAGTGACTGGAGTGCAGCTCAGCGTGGGGGAGGGAACTGACCTGAAGAAGAGCTGAGGGTCAGGGGAGTGAGGGGGCATAAATGGGGTCAGGGACAGGCTGGAGCGAAATTGGAGGTCATGGGAGTGACTACAGGGGAGTTAGGGGCTCAAGAAGTAACTGAAAGTAAATCAAGGTCAGGACAGTGATTGGAAGGGAACTGAGGATCAAAGGAATACTTACAGGGAAACTGAGGTATAAGGGTGTAATTGGGAGAATTGGGGGGTCAATGAAATATTGGGGCTGATTATGAGTCAGGGGGAGTTAGAGATCTGAGAGACGGCCAAGAAAGTGTGGGGGCTCAGAGGAATGACTAAACCCGATAAGTGTGAGGGAGAGGACCCAGAACTGGGATGGGCAGACTGAGGGACCTGCTAAGGAGCAGACTGGAGGATGGGAGAGAGCTCGAGTGTGAGCGTCATGAGGGAAGGGCAGGTCTGTTGTTGGCTGAAGTTGTCTTGGCAGTGGGAGCAAAGGACTCTGCTAGGTCCCATCTCACCTGCAGAGGTGGGTACCAGGAGCCCCTAGGCTTTTCCAGGGTGTCCACTCTGTCTTCAACCCTCTCTGTCCTGCTGAAGCTGGTGAGAGGAAAGGGGTTCCGGCCCCCCCTGCTCTCGCTCAGCCTCCCTTTCCCACTGCCATCAATTATTCATCAGCCCAGCCACCCGCCCTCCCTGGCAGGGCAGGCTGGTCCTCCTCTCCACGCCCCGCCTACCTCAGCCACACTGCCACAGAGGCCCTGGCGAGGAAGGACGGCCAGCTGGGCGGCGGAGACCTGGCAGAAGGGCTGGCTGGCTGGCCCTGCTGGACCCTGCCTGAGATCGCATCTCCTACCCCTTCTCCTGCCAATCCCCTGGTGCCAGGAAGCCCCTGGAAAAGATGCCCATCCAGATCTTCTGCTCTGTGTCATTTTCCTCTAGAGAGGAGGCCCCGGGGCCCTTGGGAGATATTTGGGGTCCCCACCAGCAGCAGCAGCGGGACAACTCAGAATCAGAAGAGGAGGAAGAAGAGAAGGAAAAGGAGGCAGCAAGGAAGGAGGCCAGAGAGGGGGATTCACCCATGGACTTGGTGGCCTTTGCCAACAGCTGCACCCTCCACGGCGCCAGCCACGTCTTCGTGGAGGGGGGTCCAGGCCCAAGGCAGGCCCTGTGGGCAGTGGCCTTTGTCCTGGCACTGGGTGCCTTCTTGTGCCAGGTAGGGGACCGCGTTACTTATTACCTCAGCTACCCACATGTGACTCTGCTAGATGAGGTGGCCACCACGGAGCTGGCCTTCCCGGCGGTCACCCTCTGCAACACCAATGCCGTGCGGCTGTCCCAGCTCAGCTACCCCGACTTGCTCTACCTGGCCCCCATGCTGGGGCTGGACGAAAGTGATGACCCCGGGGTGCCCCTCGCCCCGCCGGGGCCTGAGGCCTTCTCTGGGGAGCCCTTTAACCTGCACCGCTTCTACAATCGCTCCTGCCACCGGCTGGAGGACATGCTGCTCTACTGCTCCTACTGCGGGGGGCCCTGCGGCCCTCACAACTTCTCAGTGGTGAGTGGGGGCCCATACCTGGCATAGCAACCCAAGTGTCTGACATGGCTCACCCTGACTGTCACCTGGGGCTGGGCTAGTGACTGCCCTGCCCTTCGCCCACCCACCCTCTGTGACATGCCTCAGGGAGCCCCAGGTCTGGAGCTGGGCTGCTAGTCCCCAGTCTGTGCCAGTATTGTCCTTCCTGTTAGAATCCTGAAATCCATCTGTGCAAGTTGGTAATTAGTTGCTGCCCTGAGGTCCTTGTTGTCTCCCTGAATATCCACCAGCATCTCTAGCCCTTCCCCAGACCTCCCTGTGATCCAGCAGGGCCTAGGACCTTACTCCATCTCTGAGGTCAACCTTTCATCTGATGGTGGGTGCCCGTGCCTGGCCTTAACAATTTTGACTATCACCCTTGGACTGGAGCTGGGGCAGGTGCCAGTTGGTCTCTGGAGGTGCAGGAGAAGGGTGTGGAAGGGAGGTGGAGGGGTGGGGACAGCCCCCACCTCCACCCCACCACGCTGCTTGTCAGCAGCTCCCACAGCAGGCACTTCATTGCATCCTCGCTTGGTCTTCCTGTGCTTCTCCTACAGAGAGAGAGAGGAGAGAGAGAGAGAGAGAGAGAGAGAGAGAGAGAGAGTGTGTGTGTGTGTGTGTCTCAGGGAGAATAACAGGCCTCCTCTAAATCCTCCCCCTCTACCCCCCAGCTCTAAGTGGCAAGGACCCTCTTCCCAGGGGAAGACCTCATGGGACACTTGACCTCCTGCTTGCTGTCTCACTCCTGAGTCTAGGACCTTCCCTGCTGAGGGACCAAGTGGCACCCTGCCCTCTCTCCAGTTCAGCTTCCAGTTCTGTCTGGCCTGACTCCTCTCCTGCCCCCTCCAGGTGCCAGATGCCAGGCCTTCCCTCCCAACACACCCATCCCTCAGTCCCCCACCTCCTCTTGGGTGCAGGAGCAGGTGGGTTATCATATCAGTGCATCATGGACTGACTGCAGACAGACAAAGACCTGGAGGTTTTGGCAGCTGGGCCTCAGACAGACAGGAGATACAAGAACACCCGACAAGGAAGGTGTCAACCTGGTTTCCCCTCAACCTAGGGGTAGAGCAGACACTTCTCACACAGGACCACCAGGTGGCGGCAGCAGTCCGCTGGTCAGCAGCACAGCCTTTGGAGCCAGTGCAAGGCTGGAGCTCCCAGCCTACCTCAGCCACCTAGAGTCCCTCAGTCCCCCATGGAGGGTGGGCATGGGTGTGTGTCCAGCCTGGAGCCTGTGGCTGAATGCCACAAAACCTGGTAGTGGAGCTGGGGCGTTAGGAGTCGTCAGAATTCTCTCTCTACCTCTTCTCTGGACCTCACCCACAAAATGAGGGCGAGCACGTGTTTTCTTTTCTGGAACGGGGAGGAGGAGGCTATTCTTAGAAAAGGGAAGGGGGCAAGAACCCTATTTCCTAGTATCCTGCACTCCCCCTGCTGTTCCAGTCTGGCCTGACGCTCTGTCTCTCTGTCTCTCTCTCTGGGCTTCTGTACTCACCTTATGACTTGCTTTGTGAACTTTGTCACCATCCAGCAATAGAAACAGCACACTTACCCCACTTGTGGGAGCCTGGAGACATTCAGAGAAGCCATGGGGAAAGGGCCATAAAGAATTGGTTCACTCTTCTCTGTGGTTGTGTAGTCAGAGCTGTGAAAGGGTCGCTCTGGGGCATGGAGTGAGGAGACTGCCACCAGGGCTGAGATCTCTTTGAGGCCCTCAGAGTTCTGCACAAGTATTGCCAAACATGCCTACCCTGGATGCTCAGTACCAAATTCTGGGAGCAGAGGTGCTGGTGCTTGGGTAAGCATGTTCCTTGGCATGGCAACTGGGTCTACTTTCAGATTCTGGTGATAATGGGACAATGAGGGACATAAGGGGCCAATGGCCAGAGGAAATTAAAAAGCTTAGCTTGGTTTGGGGGAGGGTCTTGGGGAGAGCAGGGTTTCAGAGGCCTGGAGTGAAATCCAGGAGAAGATATGTCTCAGAAGGCCCCAGGAGCTTGGGCTTTAGGAGAGGGTCCCAAGGAGGGACCAAAAGTATGGCAGCGATAGGATCTTGGTGATGGAGGTGTATATGTCAGAGTCCCAGCGGGAAAAAATTTTCATTTGGATAGTTTAATTGAAAAGACTTTAACAAAAGGACTGTCTACAGAGCTGTGGGCAGAGTTAAGGACACCAGTAAGGTGGCCTGAGTCACCTAGCAAAAGTGGGAAATTGTTACATACAGGCTGAAAGAGCACAAGGAGGCAACAGTGCTATGCAGGGAGCCCTCCTGGCAGGATTTGTAGTCACAGAGGGTCTAAGCCACTGCCAGAACACTCTCAGAGCGGGGAGGGGTGGGGAAGGATAAGTACCCTGATCTCTCCCTCCTTCCCCTCTGATCCCTTCCTGATACCTCCCATTGACCAAAGCCAACCTGAAGCCCACCCAGGTGCAAAGAAGCACAGGCAGTGAGTGCCACAGGGATCAGCTTTCCAGGGCACACGGCAGGGCGAAGAAGGGCAGAGAATGGGTGGGAAGGAGGACCGGTGGAAAATGGGCTGCACAAGAGAAATTCCTGACGAGTGTTGAGATTCCAGTAGCTGGGGGTCTGGGGACAGCCCTTGGTGGGTAGGGGATGCCAGCAGGACTCTCAGGCTCTCCACTCTGCCCCTACCAGGTCTTCACACGGTATGGAAAGTGCTACACCTTCAACTCGGGCCGAGATGGGCGTCCACGGCTGAAGACCATGAAGGGTGGGACTGGCAATGGGCTGGAGATCATGCTGGACATCCAGCAGGACGAGTACCTGCCTGTCTGGGGGGAAACTGGTATGTCACCTCTCTCAGGGGGCCCCTTCCCATGGCTCCAGGCCTCAGCCTCTGCCAGGGGATTCCCAGGCTCCACTGTGGGACCTGAGGCAGGGCTCGGGCTCTCTTCCCTTCCTCTCAGCATCTCGCCATCTCCATCTTCGACTCTACCTGACTGCCACACTCACATTTCTCTGGCTCCCCCTTCCTGGCTCAGTTACTCTCCAAGGTAACCAGCCATCCCTTTCCATCAGTGGCCGCCACTCGCTCTATAAATAACTCCCTCTCTTCTTGGACTGCCTGCCGTCTGTCTGGTCTCAGGGGCCTTGGGGCAGAGAGAGATGGGGGAGAAGGGAGAAAAGGAGGGGGACAAATGGAGAGCATCTGAGACAGTGAGAATGAATTTGAAATACCAAGATGCACAGCCGAAGCCAGGTAAGAAAAGAAGTGTGTAGGATGCAGGGGTCATCAGGGCAGCATGAGGCTGGTGAGCCCAGAAGGAGTCTGGGGATGGGCTAGGGCCCCATAGACTGTCCCCCTGCCCCCCAGTACCAGTGTATGCTGTGCTTATTCCCAGGAGAGGTAGGATGCCCCCAGTTCTGAAGGAAGTTAGAGATTCAAAAGCCCTTCCAACACCCCCCTGCCTCATTCCCATAGACGAGACGTCCTTCGAAGCGGGCATCAAAGTGCAGATCCACAGTCAGGATGAACCTCCCTTCATTGACCAGCTGGGCTTTGGCGTGGCCCCAGGGTTCCAGACCTTTGTGTCCTGCCAGGAGCAGCGGGTGAGAGGGCCACGGGAGGTTGGGGTGCTGAGGGGTCAAGATAGAGCGGTGGGCAATCAATAACAGGAGGGACAGGTGAGCCAGGGCCTGGGCAGCAATCTGACTGGTCAGAAGCATGAATGACCTAGTGAACGGCAATGCTCTGTAACCTCAGAGGCTGTGGAGGGAGAGGGGCAGGACTCCTGAATTCTGTGTCTTGTCAGAGAAGTCCATCAAGGTAACTGGGGGAGAAGTCCCCACACCCCCCAGCTCCCCGCCTCTCCCAGCAGCTCATCTACCTGCCCCCGCCCTGGGGCACCTGCAAAGCTGTTACCATGGACTCGGATTTCTTCGACTCCTACAGCATTACCGCCTGCCGCATCGACTGTGAGACGCGCTACCTGGTGGAGAACTGTAACTGCCGCATGGTGCACATGCCAGGTCCGGCGCCAAAACTCCAAACACAATCCCGGGGCCCCTCAGCCTGCACCTCCCCTCACTAGCTCCCCATGCCTATCATCCTCCTGCCAACATGGAAGCAAGACCAGCTGGCTTCTCCCCACCCCAGTTCCAGCCCAATTCCATTCCCATCTGGCTCTTGTCGCTCTGACCTCAATTCTTGCTTGTACCCAGAGGGTACATATAGGTGGGAAGGGTCCAGGAGGGATGGGACTGTGGGGTGGACCACCTCCGGGACAGACTGGGGGCTGGCTAGTCCTACCCTCCCATCCTCTCCCAGCTTCCAGCTTCTAGGCCTTTGGTACCACCACTGTTACAAGACCCCTTTAATCTCCACCCTGCACCACTGTCTTTTCTCCTCTGTAGGAGATGCCCCATACTGCACTCCAGAGCAGTACAAGGAGTGTGCGGATCCTGCTCTGGGTGAGCGCCCCTGTCCTGGGGCCGTCTAGGGGAGGGAAGGAGGTGCTGCCAGCCATATGCATAGGGGTTTCAGACGAAGCTCCTAGAAGCTTCAAACAACGGCTGGATCAAGCTTCACCTGAACTCTCCTGTGTCTGACTTTAGCAAGGCTGGGAATAGCATCTCTAGAGGCTACTGTGAAAAATGAATAGGGGTCACCTGGGAGGGGCTCTCACTCTCTCTCATCAGCACCTCAGCTGGTTGACCCCTGAAGACCCTGAGGGAATGAAATATAGGGTTAAGAAATATCCGTGGGAAGGCTGGGCAAGGATCAGCACAGGATGGGCACAGGGTTGAAGTGAAGGACAAGTCATAAAAAGAGAAGGGGGCTCAGGGTTCCTTTGGACAGGGCCGGGATGTACATGTTGGGAAGGTGCTGGCAGAAGGGCACCACTCAACTGGCGCCTCTCACCTGACTGGGCACAGACTTCCTGGTGGAGAAGGACCAGGAGTACTGTGTGTGTGAAATGCCCTGCAACCTGACCCGCTATGGCAAGGAGCTGTCCATGGTCAAGATCCCCAGCAAAGCATCAGCTAAGTACCTGGCCAAGAAATTCAACAAGTCTGAGCAGTACATAGGGTAAGGGCTCTGACTGGGTGGGGCAGGGTCCTTGGGCTGGGACTGTGAAGGAAATGAGTGGGCTTTGATGGGGGCCGGCAGACTGGAGGAAGTGGAGGGAACATGGGGAAGGCAAGCAAAGAGTCTGGGCTGGGCATGGAGGGAAGATCAAACAAGAACAAGCAAGGGAAGTGCCTTTTTCTCTTTCCTCCTTGCTTGACCCTCTATCTTCATCCTCACTGCCGAAACTGGGATCACCTCCTCACACTTACCAGTGTGCTGAGCGTCTTTTCATATATGCCATCACATTTAATCCTCACAACAACCCTAAAAGGCAGGTATCCCCATCAACATCCCATTCTATGGAGATGGAGACTGATATTCAGAGAGGATAAGTTGCTAAGGTCACCTAGGTAGTAAGGGACAGAGATGTGACTTGAACCTAGGTCTCTTTCCCCAACCCCTTTGCAGGGAGAACATCCTGGTGCTGGACATTTTCTTTGAAGTCCTCAACTATGAGACCATTGAGCAGAAGAAGGCCTATGAGATTGCAGGGCTCCTCGGTGAGCTGCTGGTGGCACCTGTCCCCTTCCCATGCCATGAGCATGGTGTAACACCCTACCACCCAAAGGAGGCTGCTCACCTCTGTGCCACGAGCTCCTCCTCCCCTGCTGTCCCCTGGGGACTTTTCCAAACTCTGTTGTCTGGGTATGTGGTGGAGGAGGGGGCTGAGCTTTCTCTTAGGGCAAAGTGGAAGAGACAGGCCCGTGGGCATGAATGGGGGACTATTTCAGAAGCCCTTGAAAATTTGCCCAGAGAATAAGAGTGTTGGAGTATTTTGTAAACAGTTTTTTTTTTCTGAATAATACTTGTTCATTTTAGAAAAGTAGAAAAATGCAGAAACGCATAAAGAAAATAAAAATCCCACCAGAATTGCTTCGCGCTCCTTCTGTATGAAGACTGTTGATCCTTTTGCAAATAGGTCTTGCCTGTCCCTGTCCCAGTGAGCTCTGCAGCTCTCCTGGTGTCCTGACACCGGTGGCCTGCCTTTGTCCCCCCTGCAGGTGACATTGGGGGCCAGATGGGGCTGTTCATCGGGGCCAGCATCCTCACGGTGCTGGAGCTCTTTGACTACGCCTACGAGGTAAGCGGAGGCAGTGCTGGGGGCGGGGCCATGGGAGGGGCAGGGTTCCAGTCCGCCCACCCCTCCACCCCACCTCCGTCCCAGGTCATTAAGCACAAGCTGTGCAGACGAGGGAAGTGCCAGAAGGAGGCCAAAAGAAGCAGCGCGGACAAAGGCGTAGCCCTCAGCCTGGATGACGTCAAAAGACATGTGAGGGAGAGAGAGAGGGGGGCGCCCTCCGGCCCCACCCCTTCCCCACCCCCCCTTGCCACCTTTTCTCCTTTGCCCCCCCCCCCAACTCCCCAGTGCCACCTGAGGTCCTTCCGATAACCAGTGACTGTCCTGTGCCGTTCCCCCAGAACCCGTGTGAGAGTCTCCGGGGCCATCCTGCCGGGATGACGTACGCTGCCAACATCCTACCTCACCATCCGGCCCGAGGCACTTTTGAGGACTTTACCTGCTGAGCCCCGCAGGCCACTGTACCAAAGGCCTAGATGGGGAGGGCTAGGAGAGCAAGGGGGCCCCCAGCTGGCCCCCCACATCTGCCCTGGGGACTCACTCCCCCCTCCCGAGGCAGCCCCCCACTCCTGGGCAGTCCTTTCCTCTTGTCTGTGGTGAGGAAGGAGTCTTGACCATAGAGTCCTCTCCCTGCCTCTATCCCATTCTTTTTATTTTTAACAAAACTAATCTAAAAGAAAAACTAAAAAGAGAGAATGGGGCAAGTGACCTCAGGCTGCCCCTCTCTGTTCCATGCTGCCTCCGTCAGCTCCCAGCCTGAATTCTGTCCATCTGGCTGTCTGTCATCTGAGTGTCCAACTACATTCTGCTGCCACCAGTCACCAAAGCCCCCTCCCATGGGGGGGTGGAGGGAATCCTCGGGGTCTAGAACTTGGCCCCAAACTAGAGAATGTACCTTGAAGGGGAGGGCTAGTGTGGGGGGGGCTTCCCCAGCCTTAAGAGACCCTCTCAGCCCAGTGACCCCCCCCCAACCCCAAGTCTCCAGGCAGGAACTAAGACCCTAGTCCCCCCTACATATACCATGTGAAGTCTCTTGGGAGGTGGGGGTGAGAGATCCCCTGAAGAAGTAGAGTTGGGGACAAGATGTGGCCCTGGTGCTGTAGGCCACATCCTGATACCTACAAGTTCACCCCCACCCCAGAGCTGCTGGAGAGAAATCCCAAGAGGCAGCCCTCCTCTACCACCCATAAAAGATCCAGCTGGTTGGCTTCCAGCTCAGGGAGAGGGGCACTGGTGCCTAACCTCACTGGTCCCTCTCCCAGGGGCCCCTGCAGAGGGCCACATCCATAAATTTTCTTATGGAACTCTCCCAAGTCCTTTTCCCCAACTTCATTTGCTTCTCTCAACAACCTCATCTGCATTTTCTATTTCTATATAATACAGACTCTATATTGCTATATCTCTGTATATACTTTCCCCTAACTCTGTCTGTCTCTACCCCATCCCCTCTTGTCTCTAAGAACCATCTTCCCACCCTTAGTTCCCCTTTCTGTGTTTCTGACCCCTCCCTGGTCTCTGAATGCCTTCGCCTGTATAAAGAGTTGGACTCTCTCCCCTGGTGTCTGTACTGTGTACACACATCCCTCTGAGAAGCACAAGGAGACGACACGCGCATTGTAACCTTCGCACTGTCTCGGTGGCGACATAAAGGAAGCTGTGAATCACAAGCTCTGCCTCTTTCTGGCCTCACCCTCTTTCCCCAACCTGGGCACCCTCTGCCCTCCCTGCAGCCTTAACATTCCCTCCCCTGCTCCACCCACCCCAATGCCCTTTGCCTGGCTGACAGTGGCCTCCCCAGGGAAGGGGTTGCTGCAGAGAAACCCCCACCCAGGGGATGGAGATCTGCTCTGTACACTAAGCCAAGGGTATCAGAGACAGAGGGAGCTGTCGATTGGTAACTCCTGCAGCTGGAGCAGTGCAGTGCTGACAGGCAGAAGCTGAGGTCCTCAGTCAGTGGCCTTTCCCTCCTTCTGGGTGCACAGCCCCCTTTCCTCACCTGACACCCAAGCCCTTTTCCTCACTTGATACCCAAGCCCACCATTTATATTTTCTGGTGAGGTACGGTTTGGTAGTGGGAGGAAAGAGACAGGCGTAGAGGGGAGGTTGCTCTTCTGTCCCTCCCTTCCTATGATAGTGAGAAACAGTGAGGTAGAGGGCCTGCCATGCCCCCTCCGCCAGGCACTCCTCCCAGGCCAGAGTCCTGCCCCTTCCCAGGCCTTCTCTGCCTAGCTGTCTCTTGGTCTCCAACCCCAGAACAGGACCTGTGGTAGGTCACCTGTGCATTGGCCTGGTGCTGGAGAGTGAGGCTATCGGATCTTTGGGAACTCTCAGTTCATAGGAGTTCCTTAGAAATCAGACCTCTCCAGAAGGAAGCAGGAGCAAGGCCAAGCAGTGTGCACGGATAGGGAACAGCAGGCAGGGCTATGAGTGACGCATGCCTCTGGTCTAATAAACTGGGTTTGAACCATCTCCTCTTCAGTGTCCTTCTTACCTGAATAGCATTTAGGCCTTCCCACTAAGTGCCTAGATCTGAGTTTGGCTTGGGGCCAAACAATCAGGGGAGGAGTGAGGCTTGAGCAGGGAGACTCTGGTCATCCTGGGGTGGGACAGGCTGACCATCACACCAAGAATGGTTTGAACCACTGGGCAGGGAAAGAGGGAGTCGTCAAAGGCAACAAAGATCCCAAAGATAAGTCCTAGCACAAAGGATTCTTTGGAGAGGGGCAGAGTCAAAATTCAAAATAAATTTAAAATCCGGAAGCAGGTTATGTTAAAGTTCAGGGACGAAGTTGGGTTGAGGTTCCAGCGTGAGGTAGTTATTGAGGCACTTTATCTGTGGAATGAGTCCTGCGCTGAGCCACAAGATCTGGATTCTAGGCTTCGACTTTACTGCTAACTTGTTAGTTGACCTTTGCCAAGTCATTTACTCTCTGAGTTCAGCTTTCGTGTTTGTCAAACAGAATAAACAATGCGTTCTCCTCTTCAGCCCCCCGAGCTTATAGCAGTAAGAGAAGGAAACAAAAAACAATCAAAGCGCTTTGGAAACGCACGGCGCGAAGATGAAGCAGTTACTCCATCACCCTCCTCATCAGAGCCTTGGGGCTGGGGCTGTGGTCCACTTTCCAGGTCCTTGTCTTCCTCCCGTCGCCTGGGGGCGCCCGATCACAGGGCCTCTCTATCCCCGAGGTCGTCTCGATGGTTTTCCCTCCGGGGCTGTGAAGGCGGGAGGGAGTGGTCAGTACGCCTTTTCCGCTAGTCGCCCCCCTCTAGCCCACAGTCTCGGTGCCCTGAGCCTCCCGTGCCGGCCGGCCGGCCGGGCGGACAGGCGGGCGCGCTGGGGGCGCGCGGGGGGCGGGGGGAGTTCCGGTTCCGGTTCTTTGTGCAGCTGCAGCAGCGGCTCCGGGGAAGATGGCGGCCCGGGCAGGTTTCCAGTCTGTGGCTCCAAGCGGCGGTGCCGGAGCCTCTGGAGGGGCCGGCGCGGCGGCGGCTCTGGGCCCGGGCGGGACTCCGGGGCCTCCTGTGCGAATGGGCCCGGCGCCGGGTCAAGGGCTGTACCGCTCCCCGATGCCCGGAGCGGCCTATCCGGTGAGTGGGGCGGGAGGAGGGGCGCGCGGGCCGGGGGCGGAGCCGAGCGGGGGCCTGGGAGTGACAGGGGTGGGGGAGAAGTAGGAGGGACTCCCCTGGGAGGGGTTTGAGCCCTGAGTCCGGGTAGGGGGAGGCAGTTAGCATCCCCACCTGCTTCTAGGGACATTGTTTCCGTGGGGAGTCAGGGTATAGAACCACGGGGGATGAAATCGGGCCAGGGGTGGGCATAGGAGGGCTGGAGTGCGAAAGGGTTTGGGCAGCTCCTGCCCAGAGGAACACGGAAGATGTAGTACTGTCTGGGTAAATGTGAGATTAGAAGACCTCTGCAGTGTGTCAGATAGAAAGACTGGGGAGAATTTGAGTATAATCTGATTATCTCTTAGCTTTTGGGCTATATTCTCCTGTAGAATCACAACTGGAACAGAGGAAGCTCCAGTTATTTATGTTTTAAAGAGACAGAGGGCTCGGCTCCCATTGTGCTCCACTCCACCCCCAGCCTTGTTTCATTCAAAGAACTCAGGCATCGCCCCCCCCCCCCCCTTTCGCTTTCTTGGTGGGGTTAGTAGGGGAAGCCATGACATCTCTGGGTCTTCTCCCCTCTGTAGAGACCAGGTATGCTGCCAGGCAGCCGAATGACACCTCAGGGACCTTCCATGGGACCCCCTGGCTATGGGGGGAACCCTTCAGTCCGACCTGGCCTGGCCCAGTCAGGGATGGACCAGTCCCGCAAGAGACCTGCACCTCAGCAGATCCAGCAGGTCCAGCAGCAGGCGGTCCAAAATCGAAATCACAAGTAAGATGACCCCAGGGCAGAGGGAGGGAGGAATGGAGGGAAGGAGGGAGGAGAAAGAGGAGGCCTGTGAGGACACAGGTCTGGGAGTACCTGAACCCAGAGGTAGTGGTGCTGTGTCAGCAGACGGGTGCTCGTTCTTAAGAATGCCTTGTGTTGGTTGGGGGCAGGAGGGGCGTGTCTTTGATTTGAGGGAAACTTTGCAGTCCCTCCACTTTACTATAAATGGAGGTGCTGACAGCCTGTTTTCATGTTCTGGCTAGTTCCATCCCAACCTGATAACAGTATTTATTCCAAACAGTGCAAAGAAAAAGAAGATGGCTGACAAAATTCTACCTCAAAGGGTGAGTCCAGGCTGTAGGTTTTCTTGAAGGTGCGGTGAGTTTGAGAATAGAGATGGTCAGCTCTAGGTCCTAATGACATCTTTCTGTTCCTAAGATTCGTGAACTGGTACCAGAATCCCAGGCTTATATGGATCTCTTGGCTTTTGAAAGGAAACTGGACCAGACTATCATGAGGAAACGGCTAGATATCCAGGAGGCTTTGAAACGTCCCATCAAGGTAACGCAGGAGAGGACTAGGCAGAGAGCCAAAGGAGAGGACTTGGGAACCTTCAGTAGGCTCAGGATGAGAAATCAAAGGCGCAGCACAGCTCTCCTTGGCATTTAAATTACATCTCTCCCTTCCGCCTACGAACTGAGAATTACATTAGCAGCATAAGAACAGAACTGCAAAGGGGGAGGGACTTTTGCTATCTCTTGCACCAGAAATGTACCCTGTCCGTGTTTTTGCTATAACTGCTCTGCCACCTTGGGAACCTGGCACCTTGCATGACTTTGTCCATCTGACATCCCAGTGTATGCACTTGCACTCAGGCCAGTGGCCAGTACTCCTCTTCTAGATGGAATCTCCATCCACCCACCCCAGGGACTGGGTAGACAGTAAGCCAGTCTGTTAGGAGTAATTTTGGGGTTTGGGGAGACCCTTGTCTTCAACATCAAACCACTGAAGCCCCACCATCAATCCTGTTTCTGCCTTCCTCAGCAAAAACGGAAGCTGCGAATTTTCATTTCTAACACTTTCAATCCGGCTAAGTCAGATGCCGAGGATGGGGAAGGGACGGTGGCTTCCTGGGAGCTTCGGGTAGAAGGACGGCTCCTGGAGGATGTGAGTTCAAGGTCCACCGTGGTTGGCATCTAGGGTGGGAGCTGCTGGGAACAAGCAGTGTTGTTTGATTGGCAGGAAACATAACTGGTGCTCACAGCTCCTGTTGGAAACAGCAGGGAGAGGGTCACAGTGTTCCCTGCATTAAAAGACAATGGTTCTTTGTGTCTGGCTCCCACAGCTTGGCCCTCACTGTGTTATCATATCGAGTACTTTATTGTCCTGGGATTTGACTTGTTGTTTACCTTCCTCCTGATGGTGCTGGCCATTGGGATTTAGCAATATCTGCAGATTATTTAGTAAGGTTTGGTTTTTTTTTCAGTCGAGTCAGTTTGCACTTAGCATTTGAGGCCATGCTTTCCTCTCTGAGTCCTTGAGGTCCTTGATTCCCACTGGCACCTCCATCTTTCCAACTTTTGTTGGAGATATCTCACAGGTTAAGTGGGATAGATTTCTCTGACAGGGTCTTTGTTGCTTCATGTGGAACATTAGCAGACAGGTGATAGCCCCCAAACCTCCCACCCGAGAAGCTCCTTGGGGAAGCTCACCTTTCCCTCCCTTACAGTCTCTGGCTCTCTATTTTTAGCTGTTCGCAGGCAAGCTAATTTGAATGCATTTTTGCAGGAGAACCAGGGCTCAGTGTCAGAGCCTCCTTTTCTATGTAGGTCCAGTCCATCTGCTAGTGGTGTCATTCCATCCAAATAAAGCTGTTTTTGTTCTGACTGCCTATTGCCTGTGATTCATTTCCCCTCTAGAGTCAGACTTTTCTCGGTTCAGACTCGCTTTGTTATGTGCAACGATTTGGCTTAACTTGCCTCATTTCTCTTGGGGACATGAGGTGGGTGAGTCAGTGACCCTGTACATGTTATAGTCTGCTTCTTCGGGGTTCTCTTGCTACTGCTGTGACTTGTTTAATACTCACAGATACCTACCTTGCCATCTCAGCAGACGTTTTTGAGTTTTTCCCCATTGATGTTGTGGGTTCCTTTTTTTATGAGACTTTGTCTTGGGGAATTTCTTCTGGCCTTTTCTAACAAATGACTTCTCCTCTTTCTCCTCTAGTCAGCCTTGTCCAAATATGATGCCACCAAACAAAAGAGGAAGTTCTCTTCCTTTTTTAAGTCCTTGGTGATCGAACTGGACAAAGACCTGTATGGGCCAGACAACCATCTGGTAGAAGTGAGTAGTTCTGCCTTCTAGGTGTTGACTCTATGACTGGAGGATGATGGACTTGGAAGCCAAACTTTAATGCCTAGGGAGAGAGGAGGTATATTAAATAAAGGGTTACACCAGGTGCACAGTACTACCATTGCAGTTTGCACATTGACCTCCAGGTGGCACTACCTGTGTTTAGTTCTGGTACTGTTTGAACCAAGAGCTCTTGCAGTCTGACTTGTCCCACCTTTTTAATGTAACTGTCCTGATTGCTGCCCCCACTTTCAAGGGAAATTCTAATGGAGGCCTCTTATACATGCCAGGCCATCTGTGCATCTTGCTGATTAATAATGGTGAGCCGTAGTAATCCACACACCATTCGCATTTTTTCCTGCTAGGTGCTGTCATGAAGGGGGTTAACTAGTAGGGTTCTAGTCCTTGCCAAGCTTACCTTTATAGATCTGGGACTTCCTTCTGGTCCCTGCTCTGTTTAGATTCACATGCCAAATCATCAGAAATCATTTATTATAGTGCCTGATTACACAGTGGTCTGTGGGTCATGTTAGCGATAGTGTTCCTCGGGATGCAGTCAAAACCGCAGTGAGACAGTCCCACGCTCCAAGTGAACTTAACTTGCTCCTTTCTTTGCCAGTGTAGCCGCAGCCCCTTAACCTCAACCACTAAGAGACATGGGAAGGTCTTTACCATCTAATAAGGGACGTAAGTCATAGAATCAATAGAAATTTGTAAATATGTTTACCTTACCTTTATAG